CTTGAGCCCAGGAGTTGGAGGTTGCTGTGAGCTGTGATGCCACAGCACTCTACCCAGGGGGATAGCTTGAGGCTCCGTCTCAAAAAAAGGCTTCCATTCCTTAAAGCCACAGATTGGGCAGAAGGAGGATGGGGTAGAGTAGTAGGTGGTTGAGCACTGGCTTAAAGGAGAATAGATGATGCATCCAACTCTGAGAATCCTTAATGCCATAAATCCAAGTTTGCCTTTCACAAGATAAAAATTTATTCCTTCTTCGAATATCACATCTTACTTCCTGAGCTACCATCTACATGCAACTTTTGTAAGTGGTGCCCCACAAATCAACATCTCTCTAATACAATGGAGAAGGATTAAGCCAAAAACCAAGAGGTTTCATTTCTTTAATCTTGGAATTTGGGAACCCAGAGACATTCTCAGACTTTGGGTGTTTCCAGGACAGGCAGCCCTGCTACTCACTCCCAGACAAGTCCTTCTGTGAGCCATTAAACCCAGGATGTGATGTTATCATTAGTTTTTTAATGGCAAACATTTACCTCCAGCCAAATGTCAGCCACATCGTGTACAACCATCACAAGGGTCCCACTGCGAATATAATTAGCACACCAAGAGAAGCTCATCAAACTAATAGCAGCCAGGTGGTGGATGACATGAGCTAGAAAATCCTGTATAATGAGAGGAAATGGAAGCCATTAATGTTATTTCCCAATCACTGGAAAAGATAATAATAATGATGATGATATCAATAACTTACATCTGCATGTTTTGAAATTTATAAAATGTTTTCACTTTTATTCTTAAACACAATCTTTGTGGGGGAGCTAGGACAACCATTATTCTCACTGAGGAAGTCACTTAATTTTGAGACAGCATTGAATAGTTGTCATCTAAGTCCTAACATCTGCTGTCCTTCACACTACCCCATCCTGGATATACCACATCCCCTCTCTCACAAATACACATACAAAGCAATACTACATACATACACACAAAGCATATCCCCATGTGTATTTACATTTATTGTTTAGCCCCTGCCTAATTCCAAAAAAGCAATTAAAAAGTAGATATAATAAAACTATTCAACTATTAAAGTAAGTCAGCACATATGAAGTAAGTAACAAATGAGAGTGGAGTAACTATATTAGAAAATCTAGGCTAAGGAAAGCTGTTGCCACTGAATATAAACATCTCAAGGTTTTCTGCAAAGACATACAAATAACTGATTCGTACATGAAAACATATTCAACATCGTTAGCCATCAGAAAAATACAAACCAAAACCACAGTGAGATACCACTTCACACCCACGAGGATGGCTATAACAGAAAACATTACCAGTAATAAGTGTTGGGAAGGGTGTGGACAGATTGGTAGCCTTATCCACTATTGGTAGGAATGGAACAGTCTGGCAGTTAGTTCCTCAAAACGTTAAACATAGAATTACCATATGGCCCAACAATTCCACTCCCAGTGAAATGAACTATATGTTCATGTAAAAACTTGCATACGTGTATTTATAGCATTAGTCATAGTAACCAAATGGAGGAAATAACCAAAATGTCTACCAACTGATAAATGGAAAAATAAACTGGGTTCTATCCACACAATGAACTATTATTCAGCAATAAATACTGATGAAGCAGGATAGGTGCTAGGACATGGAAGAAGCTAGGAGACAGCACGCCCAGTGGAAGAAGACAGACACCAAAGCCTGCATATTGTGTGATTCCAGTATATGAAATGCCCAGAGAGACAAAGTGGGTGAGTGTTTGCCAGGTGGCAGGGAGGTTGGGAAAATGGGAAGTAACTGATAAAGGATATAGTTCTTTTTGGGGTGACAAAAGTGTTCTAAAATTGATTGTGGTGATGATAGCACAGCTCTGTGAATATATAAAAAACCACTGAACTATGCATTTTAAATAGTTGATTCCAGTTTTCTTGCAGCCAAACTAAAAAACTAAATATATTACTACTAATAATAGCTCATTACTGAGGACTTACTGTATGCCAGGAAGTGTTTTATACAGATTAATTTACTTAATCCTCACAATAACCTGAGGAGATAGGAACTGTTTTAAGCTCCATTTTATAGATGAGGAAATCAAGTTTAGGAATTTTAATCAACTAGTTCAAGATGTTGGTGAGCATCGAAGCCAGGGGCTCAAACCCAGGAGCCACATCTGATTCTAGAGCCTATACGTTAGCTATGTCCCAACGGTTTTATGTTTCTGAAGATATGTCTTTATAATTTCTATATTTAGTGTTTGAAACAGTGCTCAATGCGCCTACAAGAAACGAAAAGGAAGTCAACTACTGCAAAATCGAAAGTGGGAGAAATACAGGATCAACTTGTCTATCTATGAAGACTTTATAAAAATTATTTTTAATTCTATCCCTTGAGAAAATAATTCAGTGGTTTAAATTTTGATGTATTCAAAACCTAAAGCTAAGTTAGTAACAGTTAATCTACAGCTATTATTGAATTATATAGAAAATGGCAATAATTGCTATCAGATTTTTTCACTTAGAGTCCTTGTGTTTTAAGATGTGCAGTTGATTGCAGTGTGCCCTTTAGTGATGGGCAATGGTCACCATCACTGACCTCAAATGTCATTTAATCCAGCCAACTTGGCTTACCAAACATTGAACTTAATTTTACTTATCATACAGATTTTGCTACAAACCAGCCTTCTGCATAGGGTACAGTTTATGAAGTATATGCCAAGAATATTTATCATTGAATCTGCATTGTTAAAACACATATATTACAAAATTTTGATTGCATTCAGGATCTAACTGGATTTGCAGGACCAGCAAGTAGGAATCAGTGATGATCAAATACTTCCTAAAATGCCTCACTCTGTGATCTTAAGCACGGCATTTAGCATGCTGGTGACTCATTTTGCCTGCAAATAAAGCAAAGCTCGTCACCCCTGAAGCAAGCTTTCCTTATAAGGATATTTGATTAATTAAGGAAGAAATGTTCTCAAAGTCTTTGGAAATATCAAAAAGTTTTATAAAAGGTGGTTTTGTAATCATTTTTCTTCTTTGTCCAGAGGGACATTAAATTCCCAAATCAAAAGAAACAGACAACATGAAGGAGATTTCTGTTCTTAGTGAACAGGGATGGGGCTTCAAAGATGGTTACTATAATGTTTCACTACAAATATTTACCAAAGCACCAAAGTATGAGCATGATTTGCACTACTGTATGTACTACAAAAAAATAAAATCAACTAACTGGAACAAAATACACATAAAATACAATTTAAATTAGAATTTGGGGAGGGAGAATAAAAATTTTTGAAAAACTGATGAAGTAGCTTTGTAAATAAGATACTTACCTTCCTCTTGGCATCAGAGCCAAGACTGAACAACAGAGACCAATAAAAACTCATTTCTAAGATGTAGTACCAGTACTGGGATGGCAGCAGGGGCTGGGGAAGAAAAGAGTACTCATGACTTTAAGTGTTACTGTATAAGCAACTCATTTTAATGCACTAACACCTACTACTAATGCACTATTTATATTCCCCCAAATCCCATAAAATAACAATGATTTATATTTCAACTTACTCTGTCCCCCAGGTTAGAGTGCTGTGGCATCAGCCTTGCTCACAGCAACTCCAAACTCTAGGGCTGAAGTAATCCTCCTGCCTCAGCCTCCCAGTAGCTGGGACTATAGTTGCCCGCCACAGTGCCTGGTTAGTTTTTTAGTTTTAATACAGATGGTGTCTCCCTCTTGCTCAGGCTGGCCTGGAGCTCCTGAACTCAAGAGATCCTCCCACCTTGGCCTCCTAGAGTGCTAAGTTGAGATATTATATTACTCAGTATATTAGATTGTTATATTCACACTCCCAGTGTATGTTTGTCTTCTGATATCAAAACCCTTGTGTCATCAACTACACTAACTATGGATTTGATCCTGATTTTTGGGCAAAGAGACGTAAGAGAATGTGTTGCAAGCAGACACTTTATGAGCACCATGTAGGAAATCTATCTTGCTGGAGATACCACACAAAAGAGAACCAAGATGCCAATTGCCAAAAATATAAATAAGGGCACTAGAGATCTGAGCCGGCCTCCCAGTTGACTGAAATTGCATGAATGAACTCAACAGCCACTACATGAAGCAGAAGAACTGCTTAACTGAGCCTGACCCAAATTAATAGCGCAAGTCATGAGCAAACAGAATGTTGCTATTCTAGGGCACTCAGTGTTGGGGGTGGTTTATTATGTGCCAATAAATATTCATAGATTTGAGAAGATAAGTATATGTTGGAGTTGGAAGATGACAGGACCAGGGATTGGCCTAGATTATGCCTATGTCCTTCACAGTCTAACCTTCTTTGATTCTTCAATGCCAAGACTAGCATATTATAAGGACTGATGTTTCTGGTCAACTCACCATCCTTGATAAGACCACAGAAGAATGAAACAGAGAATCTACTTTCTTTTCTGACAAACAAGGCTGTATAAGACTGACCCCCTCCTGAGAACTAAAAAGATCTGAATAAATGACAAAAAGGAATATCTGTTTGAAGTTGTCGAAGAGCAACCAAGGTGCACAGAACCTGTTGAGTCAAGAACCCAAGAGAAAAAAATACATTAGAGTGAACCTCTATTCAAAAATCTTTATCTGCAGGATAAATTCATAGACAATCAGCATTTGAATATCATAAATTCTGCATTTGCTGGTTTATAAGCAATATGGAGCTAAGAGACTAAGAAGAAGCAGAAGTTACGGATGAGTCTGGTAATCTCATAATGCTAGAAAGTAAACTGCTGTCCATGCTGAACAAGTAAAAGGAGTCGTAGTACAGATGACTCTGTAGTCATCCATTTAAAACCACTGAAGAAGAATACCTTAGGTTATGGGTTAATTAGAATTATATCTGCCCTTACAAAGACTGAAGTCCACACTGAATCAGCTCAATTGTAGACGAAACGGGATCTGCCCCATCTCTAATACCTAACAGCAGTGAAAATAAATCTTCTCAGAAGGAAGATGATATATCTAACCATCTATAATTTTTCACATATAATATCTATTATTCAGTCAAAAGCTATCAAGCATAAGATGACAGGAACAAGAAAGAAAGCAGACCCACAAGTGATCCAGATATTGCACCTAACAGATTGGACTTTAAAATAACTTTGAAAATAGAGTAAAAATAGAAGATTTCAGTAAAGAACTGGAATGCATTAAAAAATAAAGGTAAATGAAAATTTAAGAACTGAGAGCTACAATAACTGAAATTATAAACTCAAAAGCTATGTTTAACAATAGATTAGAGAATGCTGGAAAAAGTACTAGGGAACTGCAGGACATGAAAGTAGAAAGTATCCAAAACTGTGACATGACTAAGGTTAGACCCTACTCACAAGCTAACAAGTTACTTTGCACAAGTTTCATAGATGTTGGTAGGAAATAGGAGACTCCTTGGTCAGAGAAAAAGGATAGTTTATGATTTACAGCAATAGAATAGCCAGAGTATCAGTATTTGGACCAACTCTCTCATCCTCAATTCCTATAGAGCTTAGAAAGGAGGATCAGGTGATAGCAACACATGCAGTGGGCTGTGTTACAAGAAAGGAACCCTGAGCTAGACAATCTGCATCTTTTATAATGAATAGTAACATATCTACCCTTTGTTTCAGAGGGAGACAGAGTGGTTTGCTATATAAACATCTGTGAAAAGACAGTACAGAACAATACGCAGTCAGTGCCTCACTGCATAGGACATGCAGAAATCCAAGAGACCTGTGGAGAACTGTTTCACAGCAACCAAAGCACAAAGATACAAAGAATGCAAATTATTTTTAAAAGCATAAGAGATATATGAGGGCCAGTGTATTAGCACACTTGTAACTGGAATTTCAGATAAGTAAAGAGAATTAGGAGCAGAAGAAATTTCTGTTAAGGCCAAGAATTTTCCAAAACTGACTAAAGACTTCAAGCCACAAAGTCAGGATGTACTATGGATGCACTACACAGAATGAAAATTTTAAAAACTATATTTATGTATATCATAATAAAATTGCTGAAAGACGAGACAAAATATTAAAATTAGACAGAGAAAAAAGACTATGTTCAGAGAAGCAAAAGTAAAAGTGATAGCTGACCTCTTAAAGAAGCTGATGGGATACTCTTAAAGAAGCAGAAGACAATGGAATGACATCTTTAAAAGAGCACTGCTACCCCAGAATGCCATACTCAGCAAAAATATCCTTCTAAAACCAAAAACAATATGATAATATTTTCAGACAAAATCTGATAGACTCATCATTAAAAAGATACCGAGGGGATTCTTAACCCCCAGAAGGCTAATAATCCCAGATAGAAGCAGAGAAATTCAGGAAGCAGGGAATAGAATGGAAAATGTAACTTGACTGATATACAAAACAACAATAGCAACAACTTGTAGGGCTTTAAATATATGAAGAAGAAGAAATACATTATAGTCTAACGATCTTTCAATGACTAGAAAAAGGTAAGAGCATTAATTTGTATTAGACTGTAATAAATCAAGGATGTAAACAGTAATCTCTAAAATAGCCACTAGAAGAACAAAGCATACATAACTAAAAAGTCCATATAAGGGAAGAAAGGAAATAGTGATTTTTAAAAAAAAATTATCCCATAGAAAAGTAAGAAGAGAATACAAAAGGAAATGTATCAGGTGGTACAAATAAAAAATAAATAATAAGGCCCGGCGCCTGTGGCTTAAGTGGCTAAGGCGTCAGCCACATACACCTGAGCTGGCGGGTTTGAATCCAGCCTGGGCCCGCCAAACAACAATGATGGCTGCAACCAAAAAGCCGGGCATTGTGGCAGGTGCCTGTAGTCCCAGCCACTTGGGGGGTGGAAGCAGGAGAATTGCTTGAGCCTAGGAGTTAAAGGTTGCTGTGAGCTATGATGCTACAGCACTCTACCCAGAGGGACAGCTTGAGGCTCCATCTCAAAATAAATAAATAAATAATTAAATAATAAGATGGTAGATTTAAACCCAAATATGTAATCACATTAACTATATACACACCAAAGGTATGAGATAAGTGAGGGTCAATAAGGGTGAGGAGGCTTAGGCCAAGAAGTTCCAGAGGATGACACGGTAGTGAACAAAGAGTAACAGGGGACCAAGGCCTAACTAAGGGGACAATCTGAGAGGCCTGGATGTTGAAGTAAGGGGGTGGGGGACATTAGAGGGACTTACCTGTTTTGGATATCCATTCCAAACCTCCCATAGGTCATATACCCAAGGTTTCTGTAAAACAAAAAGGACCCAAAAGAGAAGAAATGTTTCTAAGAGCCAAAGGCTGATTTCAGCAGAAAACCTAAGCTCCTCCTAATGTTATTTATAAGAAGCAAAGATGCATTTTGTTGTATTCTTTTGCTTCTGTTGTACCTATTTTCCCCTTTATAGGTATTTCTAGATATTCCTATGAATATTCGTGAATTTCACTACTTCTAGTCAATATACGATGAGAAAACTATTTCAAACAAGTGAATCTACTAACAAAATTATTATTATTTTTAGTATTATTTGACTCTGTCTCACTTGGTCACCCTTGGTAGAGTACCATGATGTCTTAGCTCACAGCAACCTCAAACTCTTGGGTTCAAGTGATTCTTGGGTTCAAGTGATTCTCCTGCCTCAGCCTCCTGAGTAGCTGAGACACAGGCACCCACCACAACACCAGGTTATTTTTTGGAGACAGGGTCTCGCTCTGGCTCAGGCTGGTTTTGTGAGCTCAGGAAATCTACCCGCCTTGGCCTCCCAAGTTCTGGGATTACAGGCATGAGCCACTGTATTTAGCCTAACAAAATTATTTCTGAACCGGCTCGGCGCCTGTGGCTCAAGCGACTAAGGCGTCAGTCACATACACGTAAGGTGGCGGGTTCAAATCCCCAGCCCGGGCCCGCCAAGCAACAATGATGGCTGCAACCAAAAAAATGGCCAAGTGTTGTGGCGGGCGCCTGTAGTCCCAGCTACTTGGGAGGCTGAGGCAGGAGACTCGCTTGAGCCCAGGAGTTGGAGGTTGCTGTGAGCGTGATGCCATGGCACTCTACCTAGGGGGATAGCTTGAGGCTCTGTCTCAAAAAAAAAAAAAATTATTTCTGAACCAATTATATTACTGCTTCCATAGTAATAAGACCACCTTAAGATATCTGTAGCAATATTTGAGAGAAATCTTGAATCTTGGAAGAAATCTCTGAAACTAGATTATCTTATTAGAAGTATTATATCCTAAAGCAATTCACTTGCAAGAATTTTAAAGATTAAACACAAATTCCAATAAAAGATATCAAATAGATAACTTACATCATAAAGAAATGCAATTCCAGCAACAGTCATCATTAAATAAAATGTAAATCGCCAGCTGCCAAAAGAAAGAAAAGTTTTTACTCCCTTGTAAAGATGATTGACATGTAAAGAGAAAAGGATTTGGAAAGAAGATATACTGGAGTCAGACAGATCTAAGTGCATATCCTGGCTCTGCCATTTATTACAACTTTGGGTAAATTATTTAGCCTCAAGAGCCTTAACTTCCTCATGTGTAAGATGAGAATAACAATACCTCAAGCTGTAAAAGGAATTGAAGATAATTGGTAAAAATGTCAATCATAGCTGAAGTATGAAGTAAGTAATAATAAATGGTAGCCATTATTATTATTATTGCAGCCTAGTTCTAGATGTGGAATAAACAATGGTTTGATATTAGTATTATAATCACCATAGCAAGAAGGGATCTAATTAGTCTAATCACTTATTTTATCTCCATTTAATTCCCAGTTAAAAAGTTTCCATGAGGGGCGGTGCCTGTGGCTCAGTGAGTAGGACGCTGGCCTCATATACTGAGGGTGGTGGGTTCAAACCCACCCCAGCCAAACTGCAACAATGACAACAACAAAAATAGCTGGGTGTTGTGGCAGGTGCCTGTAGTCCCAGCTACTCGGGAGGCTGAGGCAAGAGATTCTCCTGAGCCCAAGGGCTGAAGGTTGCTGTGAGTTGTGACGCCACGGCACTCTACTGAGGGTGACAAAGTAATCTGTCTCTCTTAAAAAAAAAAAAAAAGTTTCTATGTGGCCAGATTTTAGTCTTTTCTCCTAAAAGCAGATTTTGAAAGAAGATTTTCCTTATACATGGAGAAAGATCTATAGATCAAGAGACTTTACAGATGGATCAACCAATTGCAACATATGGATCTTCTTTAGTTTCTGATTCAAATAAACACTGTAAAGAATATTATTAAACAAGCAAGGAAATCTAAACACTGAATGTTTGCTGTTATTAAATACAATTTTTTGGGTTATGATACTGATACTGCAACTATGTTTAAAATAAAGAGTTCTCGTCTTTTAGGAATACATACTAAAATACTTACAAATGAAATCATACAATGTCTGATATTGTTTCAAAAATCTGTGGTAGGGGAGATAAGAAGGTGGAGGTTCAGATGAGAAAAGACTGGCCTTGAGTTGGTCAGTGTTAAAGTTGCTGATGGGCAAAAGCAGACACAGCTCACTATGTCATCTTTCTACTTTTATGAATATAACTTTCCAAAACATACAGTTTCCTTTCCTAAATTACATCTATTTTATCTAATGATTGAAGAAGCAATAATAACATTAAGATAAAATTTCAAAATATTAAAATGAAATTCGGTCATTACATTTATATAACACCTATGGTGCTTTCCTCAAGATACCTGTAAGATAGTAGGAAATGGGAACAGACATAGCAGAGCTGTCTGGAAAATATCCAGCCATATAATGTGGAAAATAGTATTAACAGTGGCTGGATACTCTCTGGACAGCTTTCACATGTGTATACCTAATTTTGTAAATGAAAATTCAGACTCAGAAAGGTTAGGCCACATCCCCAGCTAATGTAGCTAAGAAGCAGTAAAGCTGTGATTTGAAGTGCTGGTCTTTGGACTCGGCATCACGCAGTGATGCTCCTGAACATCATCAACACCTCTAACCCAGGTGACAGTCTTTCTTCATGTCTCCTTTGGTTAGGAGAAAAAACTTAGGGTTCAGTACTCATAAAGCTACCCAAAGGGCATTTTACAAAAATCAAAGTTAGGACCTAATCTCATTTGTTTTATCCAGAGAAAGCATTGCTGTGGGTCCCACGATCATCTCATCCAAAGCAGAACCATAAAAAACAGGAGATACTCAGGCCACCCAGCCCACAAATGAAGCCAAAAGCCTCACATCACAGCTCTTCTTATTTGTTTCCCAAATATTTATTTACTTCTTTAGTCCGCACCAGGCACTAAGCTAAGCACATATGCACGGTTTTATCTTCACAACAGGATTATGAAGCTGGTCATATAATTAGTCCCTCTTTACAAACTGCTGTTTGATTCTCACAACCCTAAAAAGCAGATAAGATAAATACTAAAGGAAACTTAAGGTTGAAAGAGGTCACAAAACAGCCGGCATTGTATAGTAATCATCAGAATACAACCCAAGTTTCACATTTTTCTGGACCAGTTCTACTCAGATTTCATTGAACTATGCCAAGGATTGTCAAGGTGTGTGCCAGGGAACCCTGAGGTCAGAATATTTTCATAATAATAAAAAAAATTATTTTTCCTCTCATTGTCACACAAGCAAGGTTAAACTGATATGTGACTGAATCACTGCTCTGATCAAATGGGTGCTGTGTAGTCTCACATTTTACAAATGTTTCAGTTTTTTTCTTTTGAGATATGTCTTGCTCTGTCATCCAGGCTAAAGTTCAGTGGTGCCACCATAGCTCACAGCAACCTCAAACACATGGGCTCAAGAGATCCTCCTGCCTCAGTTTTGCAAGTAGCTAGGACTACAGGTGTGTGCCACCACATTTAGCTAATTTTTGTATTTTTTTTTCTAAAAACAAGATCTTGCTGTGTTGCCCAGGCAGATCTCAAACTGGGCTCAAGTGATTCTCCTACTTTGGCCTCCCCAAGTGCTGGGATTGCAGGTGTAAGCCACCATTATACCTGGTCTACATGTCTCAGTTATAACTTCTAATGCAGTAAATATCAATAGGTATAACACCCATGAATGTTCTTTGCAATCTTCAAGAGTTTTTAAGAGAACAAGGGGTCTTGAGACCAAAATGTTTGAGAGCTGCTGCATTTCTCTAAGATAAATGAGGACATATATACTTGTTAATGCCATTTTACTTGCTTCAAATGAACCTAAGTAATATATATATATTTTTTTTTCGGTCAAGGAAAAGCTGAGATAAACATATAATAACCATGGGAGAAGAAAAAACACTAGAAAACAATTCAGAAAGTAATAGTGAAAGATGGAACTGCAGGGTAGAATCAGGGAGAAATTGAGCAGAGTGAACTTAAGCCAATGGTGAGAGAAGGAGATGGGGCTAGAAAGGGGCTCTATGGCAGGGGGTGCTGGACAGAGCAAACTGTGGGCCTGCACTGGTCAGATCTGGGCAAGGCCATCACCCAGCCCAAGGTAGCCCTCCCTCCATCACTGGGGAGGCTTCCTCTCTCTATACCTTAAGCACTTGGGGGTTACTACTTATTGCTAAACAGAAATGCTTATTTTGAAAAGTGGTCACCTACTATGGAGTTTGATTTTTTTTTTTAAGAAGGATTCACTACATATTAAAATCCTGATTGCTGTGGAACAGGGAGTACAGGTCATCATTAAGTAAAGTAACCAAGGAAACAACACACTGAGCACAGGGTGCTCAGAGGAGGATCCATCCTTATGTTCTCGGGGAACTTCTGGCTCTTAGAGAGTATTTTAAGAGTTTGTTGCTGGGAAATAAGTTTACAGAGATTTTCAAAATATCTGGGGCTCTGCATCTCGGGCTATGATTTCTGTGGCACATCTCATGGCTAAGGATGAGAGAGTAATGCACAGTCCCTAATACAATCAGCCAGGCTGGTGTTTTGCTTTAGGCTGTTTATCTAGCCCATAATAACTTTCAACAATTATCTCACTTAGAATGAATTTGTGAAATTTGTGAAAATTGAGAGCAGGGAAACAGGAGAATGTAATGTGAGACCAGATCCATTGGGTGCTGTTCCGTGATGATGAGTTAGAGAGATACACTTGTGCCAAGCTGACATCTGTGACTGCACAATATTTAACCAACCTTTCAAGAGTTAAAGGTCAGAGAGAAGCTGGTTAGAAAAAAAACGAGGCTGTACACCTCTAGCCACTGGAAAGGCAATGGAAGCCTGTGATGAGAAATGAGTGTTGGAGCCCCCTGAAGAATTGATCTGTCACTCTAAATGCAGTTGGATGGCAGGACTCAGGAATGCATAGGTAAACTAAAGGAAATCATTACAGCTCAGCCTCTCAAGCTTCTGTTTGCTTCTTTGAGAGTCTGACATTAGCTTCCCATTCACTTCACCATTGGAACAAAAGCACCTGCTGGGAGTCATCAGGCAATCTGCGGGTGGGAAGAAACAGGCAGGAAGAAGGAGGACCGCTGGTGTGTGGACTGTGGCACTGAGCACAATCCAACCAATAGCATTCCTCTGGATGTGAAAAAGGGAAGCAAAGTAACAGCAACAACCTGCTGCTCCTTTTTCCACACAGGTGTCAGTGTCCCTTGCAAAGACGGTACTACAATATTCTACAAGAGGGGGAAAAAACAGAACTCAGTGAAACCAAAAATAAATCCAATGCTATCTCCTTGCCCTCAGAATGGATTCAGAATAGCTGACCAGGTAAGACCCTCCCTGATGCTCTGGCCAAGAGAGATGGGCTGTGCAGCCTACAGGCTGGGCTGGGGCCATGCGCTGGGTCAGAAAGTGGCCTTCTCAGTTAAGTCTTCCATGAGGAGAACATAGGTCCTCTCAGATGTTCTCTGCCTTAACAATTATAAGGGCTAGAAACAGGTGATAAGGTCTTGTGAACTAGGGCTAACCTAGAACTGAGAAAAGAGAAATACCAGTTAAGATGTTTTTATGATTTTTTTGGACCTCAGGCCAAGTAACGTTCATTTTAGAGAGTGCACAGCTTGCTCATCTTGTACAGGCGGGAACACAAGCACCAATGAGTGACTGGCCGGAGGTGTCCTACTGATGAGAGGCAGAGCCAATTTGAAACTTTCTCAAGCCCTGATGACAGTATTCTCTCTTAGATGACCACACTCTACTCCAGATACAATGGCAGCATTTCAAAAACTTTGACTAGCCTTCTTACCAAGCTTCCTGGAATTTCTTTAGCCTGCAAGGCCTCTGTTGATTCTGCCGACTCCTGAACCATCTTTCAACCTGGCGCTCTGTCAGGTTACACTTCTTTGCCAATCCATAAATATCAGTCTGAAAAAAGATGAAACAAACAAATCAGTGATAAAGAGCAGAGGCAGACTGGCTAGCAGACTGGGTTACAGGGCCTTGTGCCCTGGGGGTGAGGGAAATTCTGCCACATGCCAAGAGACCATGAGCCAGGGAATTTATGTTTTAATTTATGGACATGCATTGCACACATGTGTGCACACACACATGCCAAAATACAAAAATCAGAAAGTGTTATTAAAGTACCCCAGTCTCTGAGTTACTGAGAAATATCAATTCTCTATAGATCAGTAGCAACCTACATTTTCAAGCTGCATATGTGAGCTTAGTCATTCAGCTAAAATATATTTAGGACCTCTTAGGTGCCAGGTAGAGTGTTCCACACATCGACACAATCCAATCTTTTCATCTTTCCTATGTGGAAACTGAAACCTCGAGAATTTTAGTGACTTTTTCAAGACCTAAAAGTTAGTAGCAAAGGGTGGGCAAGAACCCAGGCTAGTGCACCTTCTAGCATTTCACGTGCTCTTTCTAAGAACTGCAGAAGCTGGTGCGGGAAAAACTCAAGCAAGTGTTGCCAGCTACTTTGACATTTAATCAAAGTAGAGCCCATTTCAAACTAATGCAAAATAATTCCAATTACAAAAATAATGATTGCAACATATAATAATGATGATAGCTTTTCCTTTGAGAAGCAGAAGTCATAGGGTTTGATTTAAAACTGGAAATCACACAGACATCGAATTAGCTCAAATGTGACAAATTTGAAGTTCAACAAAAGCCAGATAAGAAACATAAATAACCAAGTGGACCATGTCTGTTTCACTCTGGGATTTTAACACAGGCAAATTTTGTGCATTAAGCCTATGGCAACTGAAAAATGCCAGCTCTCTTGATCTTTCATTTTCCAATGTAAGTATAAAAAAATAGTTTTATTTCCTCTTAATTCTCTTATGAGCAAAATAAAATTGAATGAGATGGATGCTCAGCTTCAGCTCCAAGGAAATAAGCGGGAACTGTATGGATGCAGCAAACAGAAAAGCACACACTGCATCCCCCAAAGCCAGCTGTGACCAACCTCTGGCTGATACATCCAGAGAGAACAAACATTCTCAGTATTCTGATGTAAATCATTAGGTTTTAAAAATATTGACCAATACATCAAAATAAGTTTAAATCAATCATGGACGAATACCGTGAGCCAGATGGTTGGACAGCCAGGAATTTATGGCCAGCCGGATAGCTTCTGCTATACTATCTCATATAGTTTGTGTGATTGTCTAAGGGACAGGATAATAGTAGCCAAATTCATACAGAAGCTACCACACTCCCCACAGAAGACTGGCCAAGGAAAAATGGTGGCTTCTACAAACCAACTAAACTGCTGGCCTATTACTTAATTTGAAGAGAGGGAAAGACAAATAAAACAAAAACAGGATACAACTTATATTAGGCCCAGTTTCCTATAGACTGCCCTCTCTAATACTTGTTCTTTTATAGGCCCAGGGTTCACCTGTTGTTGTTGTTTATTCTGTTTTGTTTTCTGAGAACAAGCTGGCAACTATTTATCGGTACCTATTTCTTTCAGGCATTGTGCCAGACGTTGGACATCTCTGACAACAGTCTCATCAATACCATGCCATGCCCTTCTGAGCTAACCAGCCAATGCTTGACATGATAGACTCAGCACAAAACTTTTTTTCATACACCCAACAATTTATCTTATTACCTTGGCCATGAATTAAGTAAATGTTACCTGTACAACATTGACCAAGTTAATGTGTGGCACTATTGTGAGATGAGTGTGTTTTCATATCAGAAATTACTATTAAGTCATGAACTTTACCCTCCTCTATTATAGTCTATCTTCTTAAGTTCCAGTACTTTTAAGCTATGAGCATTTTATTGGCCAACTTGTTATCTTGATCAGCTGTATAAATGATTTCTCAAGTTTGTAATCTAAGAACAATATCATTTAGGAATCTTATTTTCCTTCATATTTTTGGTTCATAAGATGAAGCTTTCCAATAATTTCGGGGTGATGAGTAACATTTTTTTCTCTTATTGGATGCAAATGTTTAAGTTATGTCTAGATTAAGCTATGTTGTATTGTCAGTTCACAACTTCAGCCTTTAAAAATTATCTTTCACATTCTATTTACAGGTAAAGTACTCACTGGAGTACAGTAGAAAGAGCTTTGGACTGGGAATATGAACCAGGTTCCAGCTTTTGATTCAGCCACTAATTAGGGGCACGACAGACCCTTCTGCCTCTCTGGGCCTTAGTTGCCTCTCCTCAATCCTGAAGAAACATCACCTACACTTTCTTTTAGTTTTTCTTAGCTTGCCTTTATCGATCACATGGTCATTTTCTCCCCTTAGCAGAAAAACTTGGTAAGGATCAAATTTTCTAGATTATTTTAAATACCTGAGTATTGTACTGCTCTTAGCATTTTATATATGGTATTAACTACATTAATTATTCCCAAACAGAGAAGGATAATAAGGATACCCTTTTTGTCATAAACACAAATAACTGATTTCCCTTTTGAAACATGTAAAATGATGCATAGGTATCATTCCCACCAGTTCTAACAAAAGCATACAGGTGCATGATTGTAGCCATTCCTTTAAAGCACATAGAAATAAAGACCATGTGAAGATCTCCTGTCAGATTATCTGTGGTTTTTTCTTCCTTTTTTTTTTTTTTTTTGAGACAGAGCCTGAAGTTGTCACCCTGGGTAGAGTGCTGTGGCATCACAGCTCACAGCAACCTCCAACTCCTGGGCTCAAGTGATTCTCCTCCCTCCGCCTTCCTAGTAGCTGGGATTACAGGCACCTGCCACAACGCCCAGCTAATTTCTGGTTGCAGTCATCATTGTTGTTTGGCAGGTCTGGGCTGGATTTGAGCCTGCTAGCTCAGGTGTATGTGGCTGGCACCTTAGCTGCCTGAGCCACAGGTGCTGAGCCAGATTATCCATGTTTTAAGAAAGCAGCCAAATACAGAAGCTGAGGGCAGAACAAGGTAGAGATAGCTGTGACTAGCCACGAACGGTCCTAGACACCACGTCTCATGCTAGGTTAGGCCATCAAACCTCAGCATGCTTCCATGTACAGACAGCTCACCAGAATAGGGCAATAACCACAACTTAATTGAGAAAATAAAGCGCAGGACCTTCAAAAATCTGTCCTGAGACTGTGTAAGAACATATTCTTGATTTTTGAAATTACTAGTGATATGTCTATATTCATCCTAGAGATTGTGCCACTTTTGGAGAAGTTTTGTTTTATCTGCCCTTTTAACTATGGAAGTACAATGAAATCTGAGTGAACACTAAACTTACCTGGATACCATTTTTTATATTAAGAACCTTCCCCATATTATATAAACATCCAGTACACTACAACATTAATGAAAAACATTTGATATTCTGAAGAGAATTCTGACTGTCTTAAAAAAATTATCTCAGGAGAGTAGTTAGAGACAATGAATATTTCTGGTATGTTGAGGCCTTGAATAAAAGTCCTACTCATGAAAGTGACCCCATAGACAGTTTCATAATGGGTGTCATGTATTCTGATGGTGCCGTAATCATCAAAATTGTCAGATATGGACTTCTCTGCTCTAATAATTTTCTTTCTTCATGAGTATACTTTGTATATATCTTACCATTTAAAGTTAAATTTTGATCTTCATATTCAAATCATAGCATTGATTATTAGGGCTGAATGCCAGAGTTGAATGCAATAATCCAACTATTAACTTTTTTTATTAAATCATAACAGTGTACATTAATACTATTATGGTATACAGTATACTGTTTCTGTATACAATTTGAAGTACTTTCATCCAACTGGTTAACATAGCCTTCATGTCTTTTTCTTAGTTATTGTGTTAAGACATTTATATTCTACATTTAGAGAGATTCACATGTACCCTTATAGGATGAACCATAGGTGTGATCCCGCCAATTACACTCCCTCCACCCACCCTTATTTTATAATTATAATATACTTTATATATTTGTAATTTATTTTATGCCTGGGATGCTGTATAATCCATCAATAGAACAAAAAAAATCCAAATTAATCAAATTATTTGCTGGTCAACTGGCATAGACTTCTTGCATAGACAAGGCAAGCCATCAGTGACTGAACCATTAAGAAAGGAGATTTTTGAATCCAAAAGCAAAGAATTTGTACTTACTTGAGATGGTCGCCTTGTGGAATGTTTGAAAAAATTCTCTAAGACGGTATTTGGTATGATCTTTTGCCCTGTACTTTTAATGCCGAATGTTTTTGCTAGAGGTAAAGCAATAAATCTACAAAAATATGAAAAGAAAGAAAGTTCAAAATCTTAGAGTAAATCCACAATAACACCAGAAGACTCAAGCTGTAACTTTATGTTTCCACTGAAAGATCAATCATTTGTTCATTTTGTCACTGGGCCTGCCTAAAGTCAACATCTGCCTCTCAAAGACTCAAGAAGAGAAGATTTTCAGACCTGACATACAAGCAATAATTGTAAAGAATAAAATAAAACACCCAATTCTAAAATTTCTTTTATGTTGATCTAAAGATATGTATATATAAGATCTGGGAATAAGCCATTCTACTCAGAATTTTATTTTTTAATGTCAGTAATTAAAATAAATAATAGTTTTGTCAGAAAAACTTGTATTTGGTGATATTATCTTAAAGAAATTATTATGTTCCTATTTCAAGTTCTGACATGTAGAAAAATGGCATGACTCTTGGGTAACTACCAAGTAATGGAGTTGATGTGATATATAGGAAATTGACAAAAGCAGCTATATTATTTTGCATTCCCGCCAATAATATGTCAGAGTTCCAGGTATTCTATGTGCCCACCAACACTTGGCAGTATCAGTCTCAACAATTCTACTGGGTATGTGGGGGGTTTGTTGATTTTCTACTCTGAACTTTGTTATTTCCTAATGTCTGCTTGCTTTAAGTTTAGTTTGGTCTTGTGTTTCTAGATTCTTAAGGTAGAAGGTCAGGTTATTGATTTGAGGGCTTTCCTCTTTTTCAATATAGGTATTTATAGCTATAAATTTCCTTTCAAACACTACTATTGCTGCATTCCATAAGTTTCAGGATGGTGTTTTCTTCTTCATTCATCTCAAGTATTTCTTAATTTACCTTGTGATTTCTCCTCTGATGGATTATTTAAAAGTATGTTATTTGATTTACACACATTCATTAATTTCTCAATTTCCTTGTGTTACCGGTTTCAAATTTCATTTCATTGTAGCTGAAAAACATATTTGGTATTTCAGTCCCTGTACATTTATTGAGATGAGACTGTTTTACAGCCTGACATATGATTTATCCTGGAGAATGCTCTTTGTGTCTGCGAGAAGAATGTGTGATTTGCTGTTGTTGGGTGGCGCGCACTACAGATGTTCGTTAGGTCTAGCTGATTTGTAGTGTTGTTAGAGTCTTTTATTTCCTTGTGATCTTCTGCCTAGTTGTTCTATCAAGTATTGAAAGTGGGGTATTGAAGCTTACGATTTATGATTGTTGTCTATTTCTCCCTTCAATTCTGTTGGGTTTTGCTTTGTGTATTTTGGGACTCTGTTGCCAGGTACCATAAATGTTTATAATTGTCCTATCTTCTTAAAAGATTTATCTTTTTTCTTCATAAAATCTCACTTGTCTCTAGTAATAAATTTTAAAGTTATTAAATTCCATTTTGTCTGATGTTAGGACGATCACTCTAGTTCTCTTTCAGTTACTGTTTGCATGGTACATCATTTTTCAGCCTTTTACTTTCAACCTATTTGTGTCTTTAAACCTAAAGTGTGTCTCTTATAAACAGTTTTGGTTGGATGATGTTTTCCTATCTATGCCTCCTATCTGTGCCTTTTAATTGTAATGTTTACTCCTTTTCCATTTAAAGTAATTACTGATAAATTAGGATTATGTCTGCCATTTGCTATTTGTTGTCTGCATATCTTACATCTTTTTTTTTTTT